TCAGTATCTATGTTGAAGAAAGTAAGTGGTATCCAATCTCAGGCACTAAGAATAGGAAGTGGGGCATTTAGAACATCGCCAGTCTCAGCGATGCAGGTGGAAATGGCGGAGTTGCCTTTAGACCTCCGGAGACTTAAGTTAAAGATGGCATACTGGTGTTCTGTAAGGGGGCATGTAGAAACCCATCCAGTCAAAGATGTTTTAAAAAAATGTTGGGAACATGAGTATATAAATTATTGTAGTTTTGGATGGAATGCCAACGCAGATGCTAAGAAGGTAGGAATTAATGACATAAAAATAAGTTCAACGGTAGCAATACCAATTATACCCCCTTGGCTGTTCCGCATGCCAATGGTAGATCTTCAGTTGCATTTTAAAATAAATGAAAAGGAAAGGTGTATGCCTAAAGAAATAGTAGTGGATCACTATTTGAAACAAAACTATTTTAATAGTATTCAAATATATACGGATGGGTCAAAAAATCCAGATTCTGGGTATACAGCAGCAGCCATATATATTCCCTATTTTAAATATAGCACAGTTAAAAGGTTATCTAACGATGTATCTGTATTCACAACAGAAATGGTGGCAATTCTAATGGCTTTGCAGTGGGTGGAAGAAATCAATCCTATAAGTGTAGTAGTTTGTTCAGATTCATATTCAGTATTAAACAGTTTAAATAGTGGGAAATCAGCATCTAGACAGGATATACTTTATGAAATTTTACAGAATTTATATAGAATAAACCAAACAGGAGTAAGAGTAGAGTTTTTATGGATACCTGCCCATGTAGGTGTAGAAGGAAATGAGGAGGTGGATAAGCTGGCCAAGTCAGCATTGAGAAAATAAGAGATTGACATAGAAATTCCTTTAAGTAACACAGAAGTAAAAGGTATTATTAAAACAGCAGTTGGAAGTATGTGGCAAGACGTATGGAATAAAGAGTCAAAAGGGAGACACTTATTTAGTATTCAACAGAAAGTGGGGATTGAAAGAAAGGTATATGGAAACAGAAGAGAAGATACTGTTATAACCAGGATCCGTATAGGACACTCTAACCTTAATTATTCATTGCATATAATAGGAAAAGGTGAGTCAGATAGCTGCAGTTACTGTGGAATAACAGAAACAGTTGAACATGTGCTCTTACATTGTGAGGCATATAATAGACAAAGAAAGCAACTTGTTGAAAAACTAAGAGATATGGAAATCAATGACATTTCAGTTATGAATATATTTCAGAATGCACAGAAACATCTAAGGGTTTATGGTTTTCTTCTACAATATCTGAGATACAGATTTGATTAGAAGAATTTAGTTTTTTTTTAATTTTTATATTAGTATATAATATGTTCGTTCATCGAGGCCTCACACTCCATCCCAGTAGGTGGCGGAAATGCACCTTAAGCTGGTTTGCCAACCGCCATTAAACATAGAAGAAGAAGACGCAAGACATGTGATGACTGGTATGATATTGATGGAAGGAAGCTGTAGCCGAAATGAACACGTTACGAACAACATTTCTGCGCTTTTCGGGGACACAGAGTTTGTGTCGGTATGTGAAACCAAACAATTCTTTAAAAAACTTGTGGTAAATTAGTTTGCTGAACGTCTTTTTGATTGTGAATTTAACCACCAGCGTTAGCGATAACCTGACCTTTGCCATGAACCCAATGAAATATTGGTAATAATCTAATCAGAATATATTACAAAAACCACAGCTAAACAGAGATTACACAGAAATACAGTGAAAAATATTACAAGAGTGTAATGATGGTGTATAGTTACAGTACAGTATTCAGTAATGAAATGTAGTGCAATAAATGCTGAGTCTCCTTCATTTTGTCTTTATTAATATTAAGTTACTTTTAAATTTACATTAGTCGTGCAAGTCAGAACAATGTACAAATTCACCTGTTTATTTATCAGTTTTGAGGAAGACTTTCAGTCTTCAGGACTCATGTACAGTGCATGCATGCATGTGTAGATATTTTACACTATATTCTAATTCACTTTCAGGAGTAATGGCCCTCACTCTACCATATTCAGCTGCAGTCAGCTCCGCTCTATCAGTTCCTTGGTTCTGTCAAGGACAGGAGCTGAGCAGAAACCTGTCCTGCAAGCAACCCTGAACACCAAAGCAGAGGGAGCTTGTGTTTTCCAGCAGCCACTCTGGCACTATCAACAAGTCCGCACAGTCAAACGTGGGACAGAATATCAACCGAAGAACATCAAACGAAAGAGGACCCATGGGTGGATCAAAAGAATTAGCAGTCCAGGTGGGATCGAAGTTATCCTGCGCCGAATGCTCAAAGGACGAAAGTCCCTCACGCATTGAGACTCTGACCGGACAGTTGCTTTGATAGACCTTTGAAGTGAATCTCAGTTGAATGTCAGCTGTGCAGTAGAGCTTTTGAGTTTCTATTGAAAATAGTTGTCAAATTAAAGTGATTAATGCACAATGGCGCCAATAGACTT